TTTGCTGCGCGATAATTCCTGATCGGCTGGTCCGATTTCAACGAAATTTAGCTTGTTGGAATCGCCGCACCGAGGAGGATCGGAATCCAGTGTCAGTTTTGTGGTAGCTAGTATGCTTAAAAAATTTTTCTATGCCCAAACTTTACTATGTAAGAAATTTTGATGTAGATCGTTAATTTACACAAAATTGGTATTATTAACTTGATACTAAATTTCGCCAGGATATAATTCAAGATTTGGGCTTTAAAACAAATACAAAATCATGTTTCTAGCATTTGTGGTTGAAGAGTTATAGCCGTTCAAAGGTAACCAACCACACTTGCGTTTCTTTTGTTGCCTACTGTATATATCTTAATATGATAATCTAATAAACTTTATTTTATTATTTTATAATACTAGATATTAAAATATTATAATTTTTTTACAATGTTTTATAACCAATTTTATACCTATAATTTAAGGGATAATAATTAATTTAAATATATCTTTTATAAGTAAAGTGATATATTTAATAAAGTTCTATTATTTAATAATTTCTGATTTATTTAAAATTAGTTTAAATTATAAATTAAAATATAATAATAATAGATTATTAATTATAAATTAAAGAATTTTTTAATTATCTAAAATTTTTACTTTAAAATATTAAAATAATATAAATCTATAAATTTAATATTAAAAGAATTATTAATTATATTATTAATTTATAATTTAATTATTTATAATTAAAGAATTTAAAAAATAAACTTAAGTTTATCTATTTTAAAATTATTATTAAATTATTTGAAGTTATAAAATTACTTGTAAAATATTTAATAATTATAAATATAATTATTTAATTAAATTTAAATATTATATTAGTAGAAATCTTTAAATAATTTGAGAATAATTAAAGTTTGTAATATATTATTATACTTTATTAGTATAATAGTTAATATAAGAAAAATTTTTAATTAAATTCTTTTAAATTATTATTTTTACTTTTATTTCTTTAAAATATTTATAATTTCTAATTTTAAATTAATATTATATGATTTAAAATTTTTCTTTTACTTCTTTTACATTTGAATATTTAAAAAATCTTCTAATATTATATAATTATATTTAAGATCAATAGAATATGCATAAAATCTATAAAAATTTTAATTATTAAAAATTTATTATGAAATATATTATGATAAAAATTATTAGATAAGATCTAGATGTTTTAAATAGTAAAAATCAAATTTAAAATAAATTTTGATAAATAACTTTATTATGATAAAATGATAATCTAATAGAAACTCATAATAAATAATATTATATAATTACATTTTCATAAGAAAAATAATTGAAAACTTAAAAATCAAAATATAATTAAAATATTTAATTAACAAAAAAAAATTTTTTTATTAATAAAATCACTTTAAATAAACTTATATATTAGTAATAAATAGTATATATCTTAAAATTTTCATGATAATTGAAATTTTATTAAATTTTAAATTTTAAAAATTTAATTAAAAATTATATATTGTAAAAATTTTCAGTTATAATATCTTGATGGATCATTTATTAACTAGATAACCTTCATTTATATCATGATTTTTAATATTTAAAAAGTTCTTATTTTATTATTATATAATTTTTTATATTAAAATCCTGGATTACTCTTATAAAATTAAAATAATTATTTAATTTGAATAAAAAAGGAATGACATATTTCTTTATAAATTCAATATTATTTCAAAATAATTTAAAAACTTTGAAGCTATGTATTCATTTAATTTATCTTTGTACTAATCCTTTTCTTTTTTATTCTACTGATTAAAATAGCTAATATATCATCCTTTTTAAATTGCTAAATAAATAGTACTAAAAATTTCCTTTTGAACTATTTATAATCTACCCATTTTAATATAAGACAATAATTTTTGCCATATATTTGCGATATTTGTACAAACTCATTAATATATTTTTTTATTAGTCTAGTGTTTAGAGCTTCTTTGAAACATTTTAATTGCAAAATTGACATGAAATAAAATATTTAATTTGATTATACTTGTTACACGATCAGTATTTCTATAAGTGTATAATATAATTCTAACAGGAAAATTTTCTTTAAGCTTCAAATTATACTTTTTTACTTCTATCCAACATATAGAATTCACAGAAAATTGGAACTTTTGATGGTATTATAGCACACTACTGCTCTGAAAAAATGTTGACTACATTTTCAACTACGTTAAAAGAATTCTCATGACATACGAAGATTTTGGGCAGCATCTGAATTCTAGCTGGAAAGTACGTAAAAAATTTGTTAAAAGTTTCACAAAGATAGAATCCTTGAGAAAAAAACATATTCTATTAAAGGTCAGGAAATTTTTTTTTTAGCATAAATGCAAATCGACATTTCAAAATAAAGAAAAATTTTGTGATCTGATAATATGACTGCTCTCCCATTTAATTGATATTGATGTATTAAAAGTCTAAAAAAAGTTCACAAAATAAAGCTTTATTATTTATAATCAATAATTTTGTATCAATAAAGAGATTTAATAAAATATGCATTATAGTTTTTGTTATATCATATGTAAATGTAGAATTATAAGGATGGTTATTAGATCAATTCTCAGTTTTCTTGCTTGACATTTCTTCAGAGAATCTTGAAATATCCTTTTATGTAATTTGCGTCTTCAACGAGCTTGTCGAGTTTAGATTTAAACGAGATATTAAAATTAGTGATTTTACACTTATATAATTATTAAATCTTCATTCATTTACTCCAACTCTTGTATAAGTAATAATTTCAAATTTTTATTTAATTAAAATTACGCTATTTATATTCTTTATAAAATTTACTAATATTATATTATTACAAAACTGTTAAATAAAAATTATAATTTAATAAATTAAATTCACCATTAATATTTTATAAGTTGCACTTTTTTCACTATCAGATTGAGTAGAATATTTTCTAACGTAGGTGAAAATCTTTGTGCAGTGTATGTGTTAAAGTTGTTTTTTTTAGTAAGAAAATATAATTTTTTTTTTTGGTATTGAGAATTCTGCTGAGAAAGCTTTAAGGAGAAAGGCTTATAGTTTGAGGATATATATATATACGAAATAGGGAATAATTTTGATAAACTCTTGAAAAACTCTTTGTTTTGATGTGGTGTGTGGTGTGTTTGAGAAATGTTTTATGATTTTTCGTGTAATTCCGGATTAATACAATTATATCGAAAAAAAAAATAATTTAAACAATGAGAACCAATTTTCGAAGATGTCTATGTATGGTTCCTCATAATACCAACATATCTTAATACAATCTAATTCTCTTTCGCAAAGTTTTTTTTTTTGGAGACCATCACGCATCAATCGAATAGTTCCAAACGTAATTTTAATAGAAACCGTCCGTATGTTTTTAAGTGACGAGTTATAGGTCTGATGATTTTTGTTGATATAAATGTAAGGTCAAATTTACATGACCAATTGTCAAGAAGGTGAATGAAATGTGTTTCCAATGAATTGTAAATTAATTAATAAAGCCCAGAAATTTTAGAAATATTATTGCAAATACTGTATCTTTTTAAAAGATTTTGCAGGATATATATATAAGAAAATGATCGGTAATCGTGGCGTAAAAGATATCGATCGATTTATTAAGGAATCAATTGAATATTACGATAGAAGGACGAAAAAATCTGGCAATTAACGAAGTAAACCAAGCTGAATTTATAAGCTTTTATAATTTCCTATTTTTGTTCTCAGTTGGCACTCTATGTTATATTTATCTCTTTTAAACTAACGAACTATAACTTGTTAAGGGCTAGTTTTATTATTGGATCAAATAAAGAAATTGATCAACAAATCCGTAATTAGTTTAGTTAGACAAATATGCTTGCATTGTTCTTTAATCATGATGACGATAAAGTTGGAAGAATCTAAAAAAAAGGTTGCACGCCGTGGTGAAACGTATCACGAAAAAAATATTAAATTAATAAGCAATGTTTTAAAAATTTCTCTCTTAAAAATTTAATACTCTTTCTTTTTTTTTTTCAAATTATAACTTTAAACCTTTGTGTTTAATCCTATGGACTCACTCTTATTTGCTTATGAACTTTAACGCAATATGACACCCCAATTAAATTATGATTGTCTTGGTCAAATATTCAAGTTTATAATTGATGATGATGAAAATCCGGCATTGTTACATCCTTTTACACTTGTGAATCATATGTGGTGTCAAGCGGTTATGCCATTTTTGTGGAATAATCCATGGAAGTTTTGTAAAGATGGAAGGTTGTTACCATTGAAACGCAATGTGCTCGTTAAAACTTACCTCGCCTGTTTATATCAAGAATCAAGAGGGATTTTAATCAATGAAAATTTTTTTCAGGTATTATTCTCAATCACAAATGAATCTTCAACATCTCAAGGAACGATGAATAATGATAGGAATATTGATTATATACTAAATCGTCCGGCTTTCGGTTATGCAAAATTCTTACGTCATTTAAAGTTAAATTCTTTGACATACGCCATCAAATTTTGGATGAAATTTAACCTTTTGAATCTTTCAAAATCTCATTATGAAACAATTCGTTACAATATGCTCGTGGAGATGATAAATTATCTCGTCATAAAATCGCCTTGTTTGTTCAAGTTGGATATTAGATATTGTGATGGTGAATTACGTCAAAGTTTGAATATCCTTGCAAACCTTTTGGAAAGATCCGAAGGAAAGGTTAAAAGTCTATTGGAACTTAAAACTTTTGAGTACAATGGAAAGGTTACTGAATTGCAACAAATTTTTAAGGTACTCTCTATAACAAGTCATAAAATTTTAAGGATTCCCATTTATGTTAATAATTTGTCCGAGAATCCGTTAAACCTATTAAAAGTTCAAAATCATTTATCGGAAGTTACAATAACAAGTGATTCTGTTGAAACTTGGAAGTGTGAGTGGGAAGATATTGAAATCATACGTTCGATTATCACAAAAGCTAATTTAATCACTCACCTAACATTGGAAAACATTTTTATTCCACTTTCATTTGTTTCATTATTTGAAAATTTAAAAGAATTAAATTTGATAAATTTTTATCTTCAAACGAAAAATCATTGGGAACCTTTATTTACAACTTTCTTGCCAAATTTACAAAAATTTCATTGTGAACCAAAATTACCTGAAATAACATTATATCTTGATGTGATCTCTAAATTTGTACGAAATTCATGTGAATTATCTCAAATAATATTAAGAGGAAAGGTTGAAGAATCATTTTTCATAAAAGATTTGTTGATAACAATGGCGAATTCTTGTCCGAACCTTACAGTATATGAAGGACCCATAAGTTCCAATGAAACGAATGAATTGAAAGGATTTTTAACATTTTGCAAAAAGATCTCAACATTGCATCTACATTCGACAAGTATCAATGGAAATTGTGAGAATTTTGATAATTTATTAAATGAAATTTCACAAATAATTCCAAAAAAATTAAGGGTATTAATGATTAGTGGTAAATGGATAATTACTTCAGATTCTTTAGAAATATTTTTGAAAAGTAGAGAAAATGTATCATCAAGAGGAAAAATCAGTTTTTATTGGGGTTCCTTGGAAGGAAAGTTTAGAAAGATTTGTAGGAAATATCAAGAAAAAGGTATTGTAGAAAAGTATGGAGATTGTTTAAGTTGTTAAAAAGAAATTACATGATAATGGCTAATATATGTGATGATTTGATTATTCACTGTTTTAATCTATGGATATTGGTATAATAAATTCAAGAAACAATTATTTATATTATGTAAAATAAATTTAATTAAAAAAATTCTAAAGAAGAAATTTAGAACTTTAATCATTTATCTTTAAATTATATTTAATGAATATTAAGATTTTAGACAAAATACCATAAAAGAATTAGATCAGTTACAAATATACTTGAGCATTATTAACTGTATTGTCTGAATTATCATATAATACAATTTTATCTAAAGCTAATAAAAAGCATTATTATGAAATTTCAAAATGAAAATTTTTGTTAATCGTTTAATAGAAAATCCAATATCTCTTTTTTTATCTATATGATAGAGTTGAAAAAAATTCTAATATCTAAATTTATTAACAGTATCAAAATAAAAAGCTTTTATAATACTCAATATAAATTTTACTTAGACTTAAGAATCTTTATTACTTACTACTGTATATGTTTTTCATCAGAAATTTTTAAATAAAAATTCAATTTTAAATGTTTATTTAACTATCATTTTATTTATATTACTATTTTAAGCTTTCTAAATTATAAGGTATTTTTTAATTTTTTAATTATTTAATCAAAAGGTTTTGATAAAATAGATACTATTATACCTTCTTTTTAATATAATAAATTATAGACTCTTATAATGTTACTTGTAATCTAAAATATAGAGTTAATATAAAAAATAATTTACATATAAAATTAAACTTTATAAATACCTTAAAATCTAAGATAATCAATTCAAAATTCAAAAAATTCAAAGTATCTAGTGAATTTAGATTAATCAAAATGAAATTCCTAAATAACTTTAAATTTTTTTGAAATTTAAGGTTAAAATTTATCTTTTACATAAAATATATTTATATTATATAGTTATTTATTACTTATAAAATTAAAATACCATATAGTCTATTCTATTAATATTAGATTAATTTACTAATAAAATTTTAATTTCAAAATGAATTATTATGTATTTTTAAATAATTACTGATTTATTTTCTTTATTATATGTAAAATTGACCATATGATAAAGATAAAAGAATTGTAAAATTCTAATTTATAAATCACTTTTTTTGATTTATTAATATTAGATTTATTAATAAAATTTTAATTTTAGGGTAAATTATTATATGATAATTTACATAATTACTGATTTAATTTTTTTATTATACATAAAATTAACTATATTATAAAGATGAAAAATTTGTAAAATTTTAACTTAAAAACTATTTATTTCAGTCTATTGCTATTAAATTTACTAATAAAATTTCAATTTCAGAATGAAATATTATATGGTTTTACAAAATCACTGATTTAAAATTTTTTTATTACATATGAAATTGACTGTATTATAAAAATGAAAAATTGCAAATTTAACTCAAAAATTACTTTCTTTATTTTATTACTATTAGATTTATTGTTAAATTTCAATTTTAATATAGATTATTATGTAAGTTCTTACATAATTACTGATTTAAAAATATAATTTCTTTATTATATATGAAATGTATAATAATAATAAAAGAATTATTAAATTTTGACATAAAAATTATATTTTCTAGTTTTTGTTAAAGCTTTAAATAGTTTGGAGTAATTTTAAGATTTTCAATTCAAACAATTTCAGATTATATAAAAATTAATCAAAATTTTTAGATTATAATTTGAATTTAAACTGAAAAAATCTGAATTAAACAAAAAATTTCAGATTAATCTAAAAATTCAATTTAAATATAATAGATAAATAAAATAAATCTTAATAGATTAGAATTATTAATTGATTATTTTTAATTCATAATATTTATTATTTTGAATAGATTATTGTTCAGAATGTAGTGAAGAACTATATATGTTTACAAAAGATAATCACAAATAGAATCACGTGCCAATATTCTGTTGTCCACATGCATTATGTCATAATTTTATGCTACATTTATAAATAAATAAAATGATGTTAAACAAAATAAAGTATTATAAGTGTTATATACAGTATTATGAGAGTGAGAGAAATTATAGAAAAAAAAAATAAAAAAAAAATTATTTTATATTTATATTTTATTATAATGGAATTTTGAGTTCTCAGTTTTTAGGTATCATAGAAACTAAGCATTTTTCTTCATCTAACCATTCTTGTAGTCTTTTACACTCTTTAATATGCTGAAGTCTTTCGAAATTAAATGGTTTGAAAAGTAGATCTTCAAGTATATGTACTTGTGAAATTGCCACAAAAGAAAGACCTGTGGCAAACTCTTTATTCCCAAAATCAATTACAGCATTTTGTAACGTGAGACCTTAACTTTTATAAACCGTAATTACCCACGTAAGATGAACAGAAATTTGCAAACGTGAACAAAAAACTTCAGATTTATCATTTCAGATACGTTAAATTAGTGGGATAGGTACAACTCTTTCACCCTCTATGTTAGTGATTGTGAGACCTTTATAATTATCAAAAGAGATTAGAACTGCTATTGGAAGGGAAAGCGATCCTTGATCTTCTTGGAAAATTATGTCTTGGATGATTCTCATTGAACCGTTAACTAGTATTATTAAACATTTTATTGTTAATATTAATTAAAAAAATTTCTTATTACAGTAATAAACATTCCAGATTTACAAGGGTTCCCGTTTCCTAGTTATTAACAATAACATTAAGTGTATAATTTGTATAACATAATAATAAAATTCATAATCATTGAAACTATTAAAGACAATTATAAAAGAAAAATTCTTTAAGAAATAATGGTTATTTTATAAAATATTGTTATTAATTCAAAATGAATAATATTTATTAAAATATTATTATATTATTTACACATAATACTGTAAGTATAAATATTAACTTTACAATCTTTTTTTCTAATTATATTATAAGATTTAATACAGTAGCAATCATAAGTATTTGACCGCCTCTAACTCCAGCTATAAATAAATAAATTCAAAATTTTTTTTTTATTTAAAAAATACATAATCAACTAATTAAAATTAATACATTGTGTAGTATCATCTGATTCTACATCAGTAAATTTAATAATGCGAAGTATTACGTAAACCCTACGCTTCGTAATCTTACGTAAGGTTACGAGCCTGTC